GGGCTCCGGCGATCCTTCCGCCTCAGCCTTCCATGTAGCTGGAACTACAGGCGCGCGCTACCACACCCGGCTAATTTTTTGATTTATTGTAGAGATGAGGTCTCGCTTGCCCACGTGGGTCCTTCTTAAGTAAGCTTTCTCGGTTGTATTGTGCTGTTTTCATGCTTTAGACCTACTGATGTGGTTGTAAGGCATAAGAGGAGTGGAAGTTGTCTGTAAGTTTATGATTAATCTCAGTATTTTATTTGGCCTAAGTTCTTGAAGTTTTTCTTAGCTTTTTTTTCCTTCCCTTAGGTGTGGCAGGAAGGCTAGAGGGGGCTGAATTTATCTAATTGATTTTCCTCCAGGTATATCAGGCTTTGGAAAAGTTGTGTTCCCCTTGGAGAGCAGATATTTGTTTTGGAGAGTGCTCATAACGTTTTTCAAAATTATTACCTTTTCCATTCCCCTGCCTAAAATCAAAATGTCCTTTTGGATCTTCACTCTTAAAACTTTGTGTAGTCTAGAGGTGAAAACCCATGGAAGTGTGGGGGTCCGTAAGTCTGGGGGCTCAGAAGGTTTTAACTTTAAAACCTCATATTCAGCTTCTAGTAATCTATCAAAATTATGTAAGTTTTCCTACTAGTTTATGGCTTCAGCAGCTTCTGTTCCAGGTAGACTATTTTGGGCTGTGATTTTCTGTATTCGCATGTCTTAGAATTCAGGGTGACAATTTGCCCTGACCCCAATTCCCTGATGAATCTAAGAAGAATCATAAATTTTCAGTTTGTTCAGTTATTTTCTTGTTGAGGATGGGGGTGACAACTTCCAAGCTCTTTTTATGTTGGAGTTAAAACCAGAAGTCTCCCAACACCCAGTTTTTAAGGATGAAGTGTATTTTGGAATTACCAAGGACTTTGATTAGACTGACCTACACTCAAATTCAGGCCTTAGAATTTAAGTAGAGGTATTACCTTCTGTGAATCACTTAACCTCCCTGAGCCTCAGTTTCCACACCAGTAAAACAAAATAATTCCAAATATATATGGTTATGTTAAAGTTGAATGAGAGGATAGATGTGAGCCAGTTTACCACAGATCCTGGCATGTACCTTGTAGGTACCTCACAAATATTAATTTTCTTTTTCCATTAAGGTGCCCAAACTTGGAAACAAGGAAAATTTTGAGTCTAGCCCATTGTGAGGCATTTATTCCAGAAACATATGAAGTTCTTAAGTATTGAACATTCTTACAGTGCTGGGAAAACTGCTTCAAGGAAAACATAAGGTCCTTCTATAAGGATTGTCTTATTCTAAAGGGCTTGAAAGGGATTCAGTGGTTCATTTATTCCTCTATTCTTCCAACCACAAGTATACTCTCCTTTTAAAAAAAGTACCAACTTGCTACTGAAAATGCTCATAAAAATACATTTCCTTCTGTGTGGGTCTGAATACAGGAACACCAGCACCAAATACTAAAAAACAGTCATTTGCTACAGTGATAGACTGTGTGTCCTGGAAGATAGTGGAAAAAATTATTGAATCATCTAAAAAGAGGTAATAGCCTGATTGTATACTCCACTTATCAAACCACATCTGGAGAATTATATTCCTTTTTAAATATCAATATGTGGCTGGACTTGGTGGCTCAACTTGTATTCCCATACCTTGGGAGGCCGAGGTCAGTGAATTGCCTGAGCCCGCGGGTTCGAGACCCGCCTGGGCAACTTGGCGAGACCTCATCTCTACAATAAAAAATAAAAATAAAAATAAATCAGCCGGGCATGGTAGCGCGCGCCTGTAGTTCCAGCTACCTGGAAGGCTGAGACGGAAGGATCACCAGAGCCCAGCAGGTCGAGGCTGCAGTGGCTGGGAGTGGCCATTGCACACCAGTCTGGGTGACAGAGTGAGACTCCCACTCAAAAACAAATAAATAAATAAATAAATACTAAAATGTAAGGAGGACATTGTAACACTAGAGCATATCCAAATAGTGATGACCGGGATGGTGATGGAGGCATCTAGAAATCTAGAAACCTTTGCTTAATTAGGACATGTATTGACTCATATCTACTTGTCTCCTTCATTTACTTTTCCATATATTGTTAAAAATAAAATCATTTTTATTCAGCGCCAAATATTTCATGATAGCTATGATTTTCCATTGTTTGTTTCGATTTTTCCTCGACATAACTCTTGACTTTTTCACAGGAAAGAGACAGAGGAAATCCTTCCCTAGCTGAAGTGTACATTATTATCTGACCAAAAAAATCAATGAGCTAAACTTTCTTGCACTAATTCTAGCCTTTGACTTCATTTCATGAAACCCCAAGTTGCCAAGAAAAGCTGAGCATCACTTTTCACCTAGTGTTGGTTTCTGTAAGTCTCCCAGGAACCTTTACTTGAGCAGCTATGGTTTGGTCTGTTGTCCTGTGATACAGAAGTAAGGGGGTTGGGCAAAACCCAAAGATGTGCTAAGTGAATTCTGAGCTGTGGAAGTCAGAACGGGAGCACATGCGAGCTTGAGGTTCAATATGAACTTCTAGCCCTTTTCCCCTGCAATATGGGTTGTTGTTATTCTTTCTTCAGAAGAGTTCATGATCTTTTGTAATTTTCTTTTTCTATTGATCTAACAGCACTAGTAACAGAAACTTTAAAAAAAAGGTTATGACAGTACAGTCTATGGAATTTTTCTGTCGTACATACTGCAAATTAAAGAATGAATATACTATACTCAAGATAACATTTGCCTTATAGCAAATTCATTTTAGGCTTGCTTGGGTGGTTGAGATCTACAGGGATAACATTCTCCACAGCAGTCCTCTTTCTTTTCTTCATGCTGTCCCAAGGCAAAGGTGAAAGTGCAACTTTGATTTGTTGATCTTTGGACTGCAATTTCTTCTAATACATTTGCATTTGAAGAGGGAAAGCCAATGGGAAAATTATGAGGTTAAAATAGAACTATACTGTCCTCAAAGGTTTTGGGGAATCTGTGTGTTGGCTATAGGTCTGAGGGCAGCGAGAATGTAACAATCACTAGGAGACACTAGTTTGTGTAGATTGCTTCTATTTTGCAGTTGTGTGACTCTGGGAAAGTGCTTTAACTCTGCTTAACCTCAATCTCATCATCTATGAAATGGGAATTGTAATACCAAATTCAAAAAATTGTTGTAAACAGTAGTTATCATAATATACTCGGAAATGTTTTATATACTCTAAATCATATAGCTTGTGAGTACTTCTAAGACAAGAATGGTGTATCATTTATCTCCATCAACCCAACACTTCTGTACTCCTAGTACCGAGCACAGAACTTAGTATATAGTAAGTGATTGCTAGCTGAAATTAAAGTTAGTACATTGTTTTCAATATCCAAAATTCTGATAATTTTAAAGAATTTATTGACTAGTCCTTCGTCTTGGGTTAGATAATCTCTTGGCTTCATTCAACTTTTAGATACAAAGGTTGAGAATAAAGTAGTGTGTGGAGTTTGGAGGATTGTTATAAGATAGATACACTTTCTAGGAATGCTTAATGTTCTAAATGAAACAAAATAAATGAACATGCGACAACTTATGGAAAGGCAAATTCCCCCCAGTGTCATATGGCTGCAAAGGAGAAGTACAAACTTGTGTCCCCAATGACGGTTACACTCCCATTGCCCTCAGACCCACAGCTAACACACACATTCTCAAAAACCTTGTAGAAAGTTAAGTTCTGTTTTAAACTCATTATTTTATCAAGTAGGCTTGGAAGCCCAGCAGAATTGTACTGGCATCTGTTCAGCATTGCTGGGCATGTCATAAGCCCAAGGGAAGAATCTAGGGAGCATGTTCTACCTTGGGAGGGATCTGGGGCAGATGGTGGTAGCACAACCTAGAGCTTACTTCTGCCACCGATGACTGAAATGTTGAATTAAGTGATCCCAAGGAACTGTTGGAGTACAGTCTCTCTAGTAGTCTGAAAGTGGTCATAATTTGATTTTTTGAGGCTCATGAACTGACATCATTTGGTGTACATCTGTCATGGACCTTTGCACTTTGGAAGAAAAGGAAAAGAAGTACTAAGTTAATTTTAAGTGTCTCAAGAAACTTGGTTATTTTTGTTTATTTTTAAACTCTGTCTTGTTTCTTAAAAAAACTATTATTGTGCTTGTCTTTTCTTTCCTCATACAAATGTGGAATTCTCATTATTTGGAATGATTTGTGTCGGAATGTTTCAGTTTGGAGAAAATGAGATGGTGACATTACTAATTTTTCTCTCAAACCAATGACACTAATTGGGCCTTATGCCAAGAGGTTGGGGCAGCAGATGTAATCATGAATTTGTGGTCTCTAGAGTAGTGAAGGCCTCCAAGCCATGTGGAATATGAACTTAGCAAGGAAGCTTAGTAGTTATCCTTCCAGATGTTCAGCTTGCAAATACAAGAGGTCTTATTTTCAATGCCACATGATAGATAAGTACGTGGATTGTTTCTTTCCACCTAGATATAAATTCAGTTGGATAAATTCCATTTCCAGGTCTGGCAATCTGTCTGATAGCTTCCTTTAAAGTTATCGGAAGAAAATATACCAAAAATGATTAAATTTGTGATAGCTTTTATTCTTAGCTAAGAACTTGCCTCTCCTCCAGGGCTGAACAGACTTAAATTGTTATGTGAGTTTACACAGTATATAGTTTGTTGTCAAATATTTATCTCTGTCTAAAAATAAAATGTTCTGAAATACAATTTCTTTTTTAACTGAATAAATCAATGAGAGAAAGAGAAATAACTTCTCATTCAGCCAATTTTTAATCAATATTTTCATGAAAGGCCGTAATGTTAACTGAATCCTGGCTTTTGTCATTTGAAATATAATTTGTGTGTTTAAGAATTTATGTGCACATCAGAGTTTGGACTTCGTGTTCAGAAAGGAAAATTGATTTATAGGAGCAAACAACTGCAAGAATAGAGGCAATGCCAGAAATGAATGAGAGTCAATTATTTAAGGCAAATGGGACTTTAATCAGCACAGCAATAAAGAAATCTCAAACTCAATTACACCCTGGATTTTCATGCTTTAATTTGTGCACATTTCTATATCTCTTATTTTACAGAGGCCTTTGAAATCGTTGTTCGCCATGCCAAGAACTACACCAATGCCATGTTCAAAAACAACTACCCAAGCCTGACTCCACAAGCTTTTGAGTTTGTGGGTGAATTTTTCACAGATGTGTCTCTCTACATTTTGGGTTCTGACATCAACGTGGATGACATGGTCAACGAATTGTTTGACAGCCTGTTTCCAGTCATCTACACCCAGTTAATGAACCCAGGCCTGCCTGAGTCAGCCTTGGACATCAATGAATGCCTCCGAGGAGCAAGACGTGACCTGAAAGTATTTGGGAATTTCCCCAAGCTTATTATGACCCAGGTTTCCAAGTCACTGCAAGTCACTAGGATCTTCCTTCAGGCTCTGAATCTTGGAATCGAAGTGATCAACACAACCGATCACCTGAAATTCAGTAAGGACTGTGGCCGAATGCTCACCAGAATGTGGTACTGCTCTTACTGCCAGGGACTGATGATGGTTAAGCCTTGTGGTGGCTATTGCAATGTGGTCATGCAAGGCTGTATGGCAGGTGTGGTGGAGATTGACAAGTACTGGAGAGAATACATTCTGTCTCTTGAAGAACTTGTGAATGGCATGTACAGAATCTATGACATGGAAAACGTACTGCTTGGTCTCTTTTCAACAATCCATGATTCCATCCAGTATGTCCAGAAGAATGGAGGAAAACTGACCACCACTGTGAGTACCAATGTATAGTTTTCAGAAGAATTGGGCCTTATTGGGATGGAGTAGCCTGGCTAACAGCATGTGCTGATGGAAAGAAGTGAGAATAAAATAAGAGAGTGGGCAGGGATGACTAATTGATTGAATGGCCTCACAGAACTTGGCAGTGCATTAAGCCCACAAGTTATGGAATAATGAAAAATAGCTTTGAATTTTAGCTCTTCCCAGTTTCTTGCTGTGGGATAATGGAGAGTCATTTTGTCCTTAAGAACCTCATTTTTCTGATTTGTGAAATAGAAATAAAAAGTATATCTTCTTCACAGGTAATGTTTGTTAAAGCACTTAGCGTGTGTCTGGTACATGGTGAGTTTTTAATAAATGTTGGCTATTGTTACCATTATTGTTGATTATTATAATCCTTGTGACATCTCTGTGAGGTGGGAGCTGTTTTCTTTATTTTGTAAGTGAGGAAACTGAAGCTTAGTGAAAATGCACCTTGCCCACCGGGCCCAGCTATAGTTAGTGAAAGAGCCATGCTTTAGAAATTGATCAGGTCTCCCTTTAATTTGATTATCACCAATTTTTCTGGTTCTAATTTCAGTCTTGTACTTTAAACCATATATATCACATTACCATTTTGAGTAGTGACTATAGACACAAGAGACATAGCTAGAGCCCACTAACTAAACCTCACACAACATAAGCAAGGCAAACACCCATGTTCTCCAATGGTTGTATCTTGTAGCCTTGATTATACCCATCTTGGCCTAATGGGATTTGTGATGATAGAAGGACAGTTCTGTAAGTGAAGTAGCAGTTTGCTTGGTTTTAGTCAGGCATTTTTAGTCAGAGGACCACAGAAGACACACACTTCAAATGTAGAATAGAACATACAGCCAAGAGCTATCAGTCAGATCTCCTCAAGATAGTATCTGATTCCTGAATGCTGCCAGCTTTGTAGGAGGAAATGGCATAATAGTATGATACACTATTATTGTTGCACTTCTACTAAATACCTAAGGTGCTGAGCTGGCCAGTTTACATAATATTACTTCACAGTAACTTATAAGATTGGTCCTAATATTGTCTCCATCCTACACAAGTGGAAATGAATCTTAGATTAAGTACCTTGCCCAAGATCTCAAAGCTAGTTTTTTGTTGTTTTAGAAATATTTTATTTCTGCTATTTTTCTTTTTCTATGGTCTATAATACATGTACATATTTTCAGGGCACATGATAATTTAATACATTTATACAAGTTGTAAAGATCAAATCAGTGTAATTAGGATATCCATCATCTTAAATATTTATCTTATCTTTATGTTAGAAACACTTGGATTCTTGTCTTCTAGCTATTTTGAAAAATACAGTAGATTATTGCAAACTATTGTCATTCTACTGATCTGTCAAACACTAGGTCTTATTTCTTCCTCAAGGCTAATTAAGTGAGAGGAGCTGGGATTCAAACTCAGGCTTGGTTAGCTTGGTTGGCTCGTGCCCTTAGATTCTATACGGTGCAACTGCTGTGTACTTTTGAGTCGTTGCTTATCCAGAATGTGGAGGGCAGATTAGTTCATTTAGCCTTGTCTTTAAACCCTGGAAGTACAAAATGATAGGAGTAGTTGGGATTTTTTTGGTGAATTAAACCAGGAAGGAAGACAGAAATGATGCAACCCTCAGCATGGCTACTTATGGAGCTGCTCTAATTGCTTCATTTACAATGTTCATCATTTAAAACACATTTTCTGAGAAAATATTTTATAGTAAAAGTAGCAGAAATGTCCTACCTAATGATGGTGTTCTTCAGTGGCTAATTATTCCCTTGACTGCTTTATAATTCGAGGTTAGATTCTGGGACCTTATGCAAAAGTAAATCTCACAGAACTAGAAAAATGGAAAGTAAGTGTGTTCGTATGTTCATTCACCTAATACTGATTGAGGGCCCACTATGTGTCAGTCACAAAGCAAGAGCACTAGGGGTGTGGAAATGCTCTCAGTAAGAGAAAAAATAAACACAGGGTGCAGGAGTGTTTAAAGGTCACCTCTGATATTGGTCATTTGACAGGAACATAATTAATCTTAAAAACAGATATCTTCCTCTAGTGTTTTTACACACATACACACACACACACACACACACACACACACACACAATAAAGTAGGAAGATTATAAAGAATTAAGTGTACTGTTTTGATCAGGTGCTGGACATGAAGATTTATTTAGTAAACATTTATTAAGCATCTGCATTGGGCATGGCACTTTGCTAGGTACTAGATATTCAACACTACCCAAGACATAGTTCTTAAGTCCTGCAAAGGTCCCAGTCTAGTTGGTAGATAGACAAGATGTGTAACTGAATAAACTTCACCATAGTGAACATATCACTATAATGTGAGTGTTGAGAGGGCTGTGAGAGATTAGCTGGTCCAATCCCATTGATTTACAAATGAAGAAATAAATTTGAGCGAGGCTTGTCTAAAGGTATATAATAAATGGAAAAGCCAGAAGTAGAATCCAAAGTCTTCTACTGCTATAATCTAATGCTTTTTCCAACATACCAGTCAGTCCCCCATTAGACCCTCCCAGACTTTCTCTAAAAACTCTGTTAGAATTTTGCAAACACTTAGTGAACCTAAATTGGATAGCTATTTCAGCTTAACAAACCTGCTACATTTTAGATGCATGCACGTGCCTGTGTGTCTGCATGTGCACATGCACGTGCATGCAGGGGAATACATTTCATGTCATTATCATTCAGGAAGAAAGGCCTTGGCTGTCAGGAGGTGCTCAGTGATGCAGTCCCTTTCTGTTTCGGTCATTAAAGGCCTGATTGCTCCCAGCTCCCAGCTGGTTATGAGAGCGTGAAGTCTGCCATTCCCAGGGAATGCCTGAACTAAACCAGAAAACATATGTAAACTCTGCCTCGTTCCTGTTTTATGATCACCAACTCTAAGTAATATGTACCAAATGGTAGGGGTGGGGAAATCACTGGCCAGTTGTGAACCAGCCCATACTCTTTATGGGCCAGAAAGGGGATGGGCATTTATGGGGGTGAGGGGAAGTGAGGACTGGGCAAACTGAAAAACTTTATTCATGTTAACAAACTCACAGAATACCCCAAAGCAAAATCTGGTTTAAAACTAAAACATTAATGAAATTCTGCTGTAGCACCCTCACTTTCCTGTTTGATAAAACATAAAACCCTACCAGTCAATCCTACTTAAGGTTCAGTTGTGGTGAGAGACCTCTTTAAAAATGTGTTCTTCCTGTGCACTAATGGGACAGCATTTTAGCTAGCTATAAGTTGTGCCATGAGATCTGCCACAGAGAGACTTTGCCCAGTTGTTTTGATGACTATATCCTCCCCGGATTATGAAGGTCATTTTCGTCTTCTAAATTAATGTGGCACTGTTTATTTTCTTTTTTCTTTTCTTTTCTTTCTTTCTTTTTTTTTTTTTTTTTTTGGGTTAGAGTCTCACTCTACAGCTCAGGCTGCCGGCCACCGCAGCCTCGACCTGCTGGGCTCCGGCGATCCTTCCGCCTCAGTCTTCCGAGTAGCTGGAACTACAGGCATGCGCCACCACGCCCAGCTAATTTTTTGGTTTATTGTAGAGATGAGGTCTTGCCAAGTTGCCCAGGCTGGTCTTGAACCCATGGGCTCAGACAATCCTCTCACCTCAGCCTCCCAAAGTGCTGGGATTACAGGCGTGAGCCACCGTGCCTGGCCTAAATTTTTAAGTGTGGCTTGTTAGTGCTTTAGTTTTTCCTAGGATAGTTCTCAATATTTCAGACTACCAAGTGAAGGCATGCAGGTGATGTTGGGTGTTGTTGCTTGCACCATCCCTAGAGGTAGTAAAGCATCCTGTTCCCAAGTTTACCTCATTATCACAATCACCAGAGGAACTTGTTAAACAGATTCCCAGAGACCACCCCGGAGATTCCAATACCAAAAGTCTATGTAGAAGTCAGAGAATCCGTCATTTAGGAAGTTGAACAGTTGATTTGGATGTTCTATTGGGAGCAAAATCCAGCCACTTGTTTGGAAAATGAAGAAAATAAAACCCAGAGGTTGGAAGTGAATGGCCTAAGTTCCACAGGCAGTTAGTGGCAAAGCTAGGGCCTTGAATTATTCATCTATAAAATGGGGTTGAAATATGAGGATTAAATGAAATGTTAGGTTCAGGAACATGACTGGCATTGTCTAAATCCCAGTCCAGTACTCTTTTTGACTACATTGTTCTAAGTAACAAATGAAAAATGGATTTTTCTTAAATGTATTTTTAGATGCCAAGATCTCTTACTGTTATTTTAGTCCAAAAGAAGTGAAAAGTGTGTGAAAATGTATGCGTGTGCATGCATATGTGTGAAGGAGGGGGGACAGGAAGAAAGATAAAATTTGTACTGAAAAGTCCAAGAAAGTATTAATAAGACTGTAAGCAGACCCATTTTGCAAACTGGGATAAATATCTATACAAACGAGGATAAATGTCTTGGCCCCAAGTGAGTATTGACTAGATCTTGAATAGTATTTGGGTGCAAGTATCACTATTAAATTTATCAGCACATTATTGAATGCACATCTTGTACCTCGAAGCAAACTTAAATATGTAGAGTTTGCAATACATATATTTTCAGCATTGATTTTACACCCAAATTGCTGAATGCCATACCTCCTTTTTCAAATGCAACTTTTTAGCCTGAAAACCATTTTGATTGTTGTTACCATATACCTACATATGGATTGTATGCATAGCCATTGTACACTTCATGTATAATTAATCCATTGATTAAGAGAGTAATGATTAACATGCTGAATATTTGTCCCTCTACCAAAATTCCCCAAAACTTTCTGTAATTTTGTTTACTTTTTTCCCCCCAAAGTAATTGCTCATGTATCTTTGCACAGCTGTTTACACTTTTATATTTTCACTTGTACTCACATATGTATATTCGTTATTGATTCATCTCAGCATTTCTCAGTATTAGAGCTTTCTCTCACACAATGTCATTACT